TGTAATGTAATTCGATTTTTGTAGTAAACTATTGTGGACCGAAGCAAATATATATTGGAAAGATAGTAATTTAATCGTAGATCTTATACGAAAAGGGCATTTATTATGATTTAAGGAGCATGCCAGTTTCACATCTATACTATTCTGAAACAAAGAAAAATTGCATTTTTGAGGTCTTTGAAACTCTGGCCAGTTTTCAGATTCCACTCCAGAGGTAAGCAAAAGCTTTCTTGGTATTTCGGATCTTCAAAATCATGTATGTGCATAGTATTCAGTGTTACGTCACCAAGTAGTCTTCATAACTATCCATCAGCATTTGCTAACTTATTAACAACTGCACACTATAGCTGTGTAGTGCTCTGGATAAACTCAGGAGCCTTGAAAGCAAAAAGTCTGTGAGAGCATGTCATAATTTTGTCTCATCGTCAGCGCATTTATGCATTTCCCACGGCTGTGGTTGTTCAAGGAATGGAACAGGTTATAATTTGAGTTCTCTGTATTTGGCAACCATAGTGTCTCCGAGCCATGTTTCTAAGTGTTATCTCCGGTTATCCTTGTCATGTGTGGTCCTACATTGTCGTAAGGTAAAGCAAATTCTTCCAATTAACCAACTCTCGCTTCTTCTGCTGCAATGCATGTTGTATCTATTGCGATATAGGTCCTCACTAAAGGTGAGATAGTAACTCGTAATTCACTACTTGGCAACTAATCCACCAGATCTTGCAGACAGGGCTACAAACAGGAACCTTGAGGTTCAAGGCATAGAATTACGTAGTGATAATAAATATCTGTTGTTCTTAATAGTGTCGTAATAGACGCACTTTCGTTACTCCTGAACACTCAGCAAATATTAGTGTTATATGATGTCTTGGAATTCTGTTTTGTTTCAGTCAAATGCAAAATGCATGTCGGCGACCACCGCTTTTGTGTAGTGATGCATATTTTTCGAAATATGCGCTGAGAAAGACAAAGTGCCAGTATCTCATCCTCACTCTCTACCAGTCGAGCGAACTATTTCCGCAAGCATATTCCGTTAGAAAATCTGCAAATTCCATCCCCTTTACATTTGTGCATGCATTTTAGGAGTATCCTGTATTTGTAACAATACCGAATTCGATGATTGCTAATACTTCCAAATTCTTACAGCTTCATTTGTATAACTACAGATGTTTAAATTAGTATAATTAAAAAGCTTTCTGCATTATGCACAAGCGGGCTGAAAAGTTGCATTATTCTTATAGTCAGACTTAGATGATATTACAGATTCTATCCTCCTCCTCACCTGAACTTCCTATCAAATTGTCTCTTCATGATGTGCTAGAAATTTTTAAGAAAATCTGAAAGCTTTCAGATTTTAAATTATGCCCAAAGAGGCGTTTGTTTAACGTTTTGCCTTTATTTATAATACATCATGTTCTTCGCAATAAAACCATAAAATTAAGTTCAACAGCAATATCGCAAAACAATTCTAAAATGAGCATATCTTTAGAATTTCCGATACACATCAGTCCCACGCGTTGGAGATAGTTTATATATATATACAGTGTTACCATTGCTCGGTTTTAAATTGTTGAATTTGTTAATCAAAAATTCGGTAAAGGTCGACAAAATAAGAAATAGATAATAAAACAAATTCCAAGTTTGGGCTTCCAGATGCCCATATTCGAGTAGAAAAGTACGTTATTCAAAATCTGATGGCTCTAGGTACCGTTGTTTTATCACAGTGCAAGAAAGATTCATACATTTAAGCAGATTTTTCATTATTTAATTTCTTCAAATATAATACAGGGCTCTAATAATTGGTAGCAACAATTTGAAAAGTGAACCGACATTTATAGCGAATCAATGCAAAATACCAACTTAATAGTTCTTCTGAGAAAATTGCCCCTTCAGACTAAAAAAAAGGCATACGCTATTTTGAAAAATTCCTTTATCTCTGTGGTTTAGGATTTCTCACTTCTTCATCTGAAGAGAATGGTTTTTACTTAGTTGTATTGTCAGTGAAACCTTTTTACTTAGTTGAATTTCAGTTCAAAAAACATATGTAAAATCCCATTTGTATGAAAATTATTTTAACATTGAGCCATTGCTGTTGACGAATTATTAAATTCCCTGAATTATTCATTACTACACTGACAAAAATTTCAATCCTATACCGCAGTTTTTTATGTCCCCACCAGCGGCCAAATGGTTAAAATCGCTGAATATTGGTAGGTCGACCTAGTTTGGGTTCAGTCCCAGGCGTATGGGCTGGCTACATAATTGCCGTCTACCCGGTATAGTAGTTGGTGACGCTGACGGCCGTACCGATGGGCTCAGGTTCGAATCCTGCTGATGGCATGGATGTTTTTAAGCGTATAGTGTCTTTAGCAAGAGGGGCATTCAAAATACGACGAGTCGAAAGTCCTCTCAAGAGATTGGTGGTGGGGGGAAAAGAGGGAGGGAGGCTGTCGGTTCGTCCTTTTGGTGCTCCTTCCTTAAAATTGGAGCGCAACTGCACAATTAATGCGACGAGACTATACCTGTACAACCAATGGCGAAATTTTGGTGAAATTTTGCTCGCTTCTACGTGTAACTGCCCCTGGCTGAGTAGTTAGTTTCGTGGTTTTCCCTATGTGTACCTTAATACGAGGCAAGGTCCCTCAGAAAGTCCTCCACTACGGTATCCCTTATCTTAGGCAGCTAGCCCTTGTCGCTTTGCTGTATTCAAATAGCATAAACTGATCATCCTACTGGGTCTTTCCTTTCAATATGGTCAAGTTTTGACGGCCACAACTGCCAGTTCAGAAATAGCATAGAGTCTATTGTCTTCAATTAAAAATGCGATTACTTTACTTAGCATTTGAATACTTAAAAAGATGTTGTTTCAAAAAACATATGTAAAATATGAGAATACGGCAAAGCACACTAGGGCTATCTGCCTAAGGGGAGGGATGCCTTCGTGGAGGACTTTCTAAGGGAAACTGGCTGGTGTACACGTTACACATGGGGAAAACCACGAAAACACCCATGCAGCCAGCCCGTTCGCAGGATTCGAACCTCGGACCGAACTACCAGTGTTCAGCGATTTTACCGCTTGGCCGAAAAAGGAAACTAGTTGAAGAAAAATAATTTATACTGTTAAATTTAAAATACATCATATATGATTGCCGCAAGGAACAAGCAGCAGATCCATTAAATTACACACATTATTAGAGACTCAGAGAGAGATGATATTATTTCACTTCAAATGTTAAAAAATGTATCTTAAAATGGAATGCATTTTCAGCCATAAGGTTTTAAGTTTGCAATACTAAACCAGATAAATTCAGTTATGTTATGCATTAATCAAGCAAAATTTAAGAAGCAGTTCAAGCAACTATGAAAATAATTTTAACTTATTTTGTTCTTGAAATTTATCATGAGTGACTTGTATACACTAGAAAGTTTCCCTTTTTACGTTTGTTGTTTGTATGAAGTTAGGCTTTGTTTATTCCAGCAAATGTTATTCATCCTTTTCAGCAGTGAATGAGAAGAAAAGTGTAATACATAAAACTGAAAAAAAAATATGAAATAACTTTAGAGAAATATCATGCAAAATAACATTCAGTTGGTCATAAGAAAAACCTCCTTCTTGTGTTCTGTTTACCTACACAAAGAACTTACATAGGAAAAGAACTTTGTGAAGACGTTGTATAAATCAACAAAAAAGAATATTTTAGCCTAAGGAAAACGAACCTAAAACAGAGAGAGTCTTATATATGATACATTTGAAACGAAGGAAAAGAAACATCTATTTCGATGTTTCTGTCCCGCAGGCGGATATTTTAAAATGGTAGTTATATATTTTTTCAACAGAATGGCTGAAGTTAAAAACAAGAAAACTTCTGAAGTAAATTTTCCAGACATCTTTCATCATGAGATATAAATGATTTTATAGCTGTATGAATTCATATTTTCTAATATTTTTATTATAATATTGAAAATCAGAAGTCATACTGGTGAGAACGTCAGATGGTGCGTAACATCAGATGGAACATAACGTCAGAAGGTTCATTTACGGTTCAAAACATAGTTCCACTTGAAAAAAGATACACTAAATTGTAGACTATAATACAGTTTAACAGAGATATATCAAAATAATTTTCAGTATAATCAGCCAAACCTTGGAAACATTTGCATGAAAGTCTAAATAAACATTCTATTCGCTAATGATAAGATATCTGCTGCTTGGTCTTGGAGCAAACGCAGAACCGCTGTTTGCACCTGTTCATCGTGGGTAAATTGCTGTTTACTCAGACACTAATACTAGTGCAATTTCGGCGAATGTTGTGGATCATTTCATCAACCTGCTGTCCAACGTCGTCGTTTATCAACTTTGATGGCCTCCTCTGCCCATCAGCATTAGTCAAGTCTGTCAGACAGTATTTGAACTGCTGGCGTAATTTAATTATAGCTGAAAGTGCAATAATTTTTTCTCCATACCAACTCCGTAATTTCTGATGAATTTTGTTAGAGTCATAATGCTTTGTTCACAAAAATCATATTTTTCATTGCAATTTAAAATTTCAGTTAACGTGCTATTTTCTTCTTGAGCTACGATCTAACTCCTAATACTGCTGGAAACAGATTATATTCGTAAAACTCCATGGGCATGAATTTTATTCTGTGCGGGCATCCAGTTTCCCCAGGTGATAGCTGTAACTGACATTTTGAATCTACTACTTAAGTACAATTTAAATAGTTACTAATTAAATGTATGAAATTACACAGAATGCTTCAAAAATTGATATGCAAGAGATATTCTTTGCTTCAGCACATCAAATTAATATTAATGCAATAACAAATTTGTAAGCAATCAGATAAGGAACAAATCTTTAAGCTTTCAGCATAGACTGTATATCATATTGTACTGTGTTTCTGTATTTTAATAAAATTTTAGTTCATTTCCTTCTGAAATCATTCCAATATTGCGATAACAATAACCTATTAATCCTCTTTAATTATTGCATATTTTTCAGATAAGAAATGTCTAAAACAGTGGCCAAACGTTTGGAATTTGCGGCAGCATCGCCTGATAAAAATATGCAAAGAATAACATCAATTTTATAATGATCAAGATATGTCCTATATTAATGTTGCATGGATCGTACATTAATTTTTGATGGATCTTGCATCAATACTGAATCATTTCAATTATTTTTAATGTGAAATCTTTTTGTTGAAAAATGTAAATACAGTATTTTTAATGTGAGCCTAGTTTTATTTTTCAAATTTCAGGTGTGTATAATGTGAGTGATAATGTTTGCAGAAAATATATTCATGATTTTCGTCTAAAATTTTGTTTCTTATTTTGCCTTTCAGTGATTCATTAGAGAAAATTTTGCGGGCGAAATTATATATATTATTTAAATAGTGAAGGTATGAATTGAGAATATTCACAAAATGTCGTAAATTTTTTGTAGAAGGGTTTCAATTTACAACAGATTACTAAACTAACTTTTTTCACATTAAATATCTGTTTAGAATTTTATACAACCCAATTCGCATATTCGCACTCATGCTTTATGGCAGAACACATTGGCAAATACACCAGCTGGCATTTTCTAAAATTTTGAATACAAATTCTTCTGACACAATGGCAATCAGTGCAGCATATTGTCGCTTTCACATAATCTTTCTACATAGAAACTTGGAAAATACATCAAACTGTTACTCTTAAAATTAAAGTACTGCAATTCCGATGTAATTTGAGTAGTATTCCTATTTTGAGGTTTCCTTTATCAGTTGTTTTTCAGCCTTAAGATAAACGCTTATTCAAAACATTTGTATATATAGTCATATCCATTGCACATCAAGCAACTAGTTTAAGTTTCTAAATTAGGAATGTATTAGATATACAACTAAGCTTACTTTTTAGCCGATTTTTCAATTATATGAAGCTGGCTGTGAGTGGATTATACACACATAGCTTAACTTCGGACATTTTTATGTCACGTTAGGTTGCGTTACTACAGGATTTTATCATCATCTCAGCACTGTTCTTTTCCTATGCAACGCTCAGTTTCCCAAAATGGTGTCATTTCCCACAGCATAAATTTTTAATTTGTCTTACAACTGTACTTTGCTCATCAAACTGAATAATTTGGAAACAATATACTTATGTTTTAACAATTAATATTATTAATGTATTTTTACTACAGTATTTGCACATCTAATTAAGATAATATATAACATATCAGAAATTTAATTCATGCAAATGTTGCATCATTAATGTATTTAAAGATATTTCTATCGCTATATAATTCTGTGTATTATAGCATGAATTTATCATTAAAGCAGCACGGTTTTTTTCCTATGCAGCTATCAGTTTCACAAAATGGTACCATTCCCCAACCCAAAAAATTTTAATTTGCCTTAAAATTGCATATTGCTCATCAAACTGAATTTGAAAGCAATACATTAATTTCTTAATATTATTAGCTTATTTTTTATTATACACACTTTTGGAAAAAAAAAAAAAAAAAAAAACCAAGCACCACGATAGACTTTTGCGATTGTGACGAAATTTGCTATGCAAAAACATCTTGATCGAACATGCAAATGATGAAAGTTTAAAGGCAAATGAACACGAATTGCGACCATAGCGTGCAATTCGCAAAGTATAAAACCAAAAACAAAGGCGAAAAATGTTTTTTTTTTTTTTTTTTTTTTTTTTTTTTTTTTTTTTTTTTTCTGCCATTGTAATTCTATAAAGAAGCAACTAAAGATGCCATTACGACGATATCGAAGACCTTACAGACAACTAAACGACTTCGAACATGGTCGCATTGTAGGGTTGCGTGAAGCTAGGTGGTTATACCGGGCAATAGACTGCCACCTGCAGCGTACAGACTCTGCAATTGCCGACGAAATGAAGGCTCTGGAAGGAGCACAAATGGCAAGGCAAGACAGTATGATTCTTCGCCAGGTCCAAACCGCCCCAACGGTACCATTGTCGACTATTCCACGCAGTTCAGCCGCGTCTATACCTCCCATGATACCGTCCACCATCTTACGGCACTTGTCTGAGGCGGAATTACGTTGACATAGGCCTTTAAGACGTTTGTCGTTGACCCCACAACATCGGCGGAGTCATTTGGAGTGGTGTCGCAGCCGATCATTATGGCTGCCATCAGATTGGCATCGTATAGTGTTCAGTGATGAATTCCTCTTCACTCTTGAAACAGATGACCACCGTGTTCGTGTCTGGAGAGGACGGGGCCAGCGGTCCCGATCAGCATTTGTTTTACAAAGGCATACAGCCATAACCCTTGGTGTGATGTGTGGGGCGCTATTTATCAGTACTGCAGGTCATCTTTAGTCATCCTCCGTACATCTTTAAGAGCTCAACGATATGTTGATACCATCCTGCGGCCGGGTGCATTAACTTTCATGGAACGTCCTCCAGGGGCCATTTTTCAACATGTTAATGCCAGGCCACATACACTCGCATATCTCTGGACTGTCTCCGTGCGTTTGATACTCTTCCTTGGCCAGCAAGGTCACCAGACATTTCACCAATCGAGCATGTCTGGGGCATGGTAGGCCGCCATATTTGCACACCACAAAATATCGCAGATATGGAGCGACAACTGATGAATGCCTGGCAGAATGTGTCGCAGGATGCCATTAGGAATCTCTACCACTACTTGCTTCGAAGAATTTAATTATGCATTGCCGCCAGGGGCTGTTCGACCAACTACTAATTTTAACACTCAACGGGTGATTGTGAGCCGTGAACAGGTACTATAACCTTGATTTTTTAATAATTTAATTAGCTGTATATGAGCTATATACATATTCAATTTCACCAAAAATAATCACTTCCTTCATGGTGCTTCGATTTTTTTGCAAAAGAGTGTATTATTAGCATTTTCAAATTAAGATAATATATAATATATCAGATTTATATAATTTATACACAAATTTGTATCTTTAATGCATTTAATATTTTTATCATAATATAATTCTGTGTTCAAATGATTTCCTGAAAATGTGGATACGGTAATTCTGTCTGAAATTAAAATTTATTAACTAGTCGACTTCGGAATCTCAGCTGCACCTCCTTCAGTGTTCCTGATGCCCGTGGGAACATTGATGTAAACTCCATTTTTGGTATTATCGTACAGTAGCTGTTGTATCGTTTAAGTTGTAATTGAACTGTCTAAAAATTTCTATAGCATCCAAATAGCTTAATAAGGGAAAATAACTAAAGTGAATAATCTGCAGAATAAGATGATCCAGGCATGGTAGGGATTTGTTTCTGATCAAAAGAACAAACAGTGCCATCGCACTAAATGGTCGAAACATGTTTAATTCTCTTGGCACTGTAAAATCAACTATGCTGTTCGGAATAATATCATTTTTTACATCTCTTCCACCGAACGAAGACTAACGTCCCTAACAGCCAAATTCAGTTATGGCTAATTTCAAGCACGTGAACTTTACTAGTAGACAAATATTGTTTACCGAAGTGCAAAAATATTCTTTTGTGCGCCTCGTAGTCCCGTAATTGCATTTTTATTTAAATTTTAAAGTCAGTCTAGTTCTAACGGTTTGTATGGGTATTTGTTTCAATAGCGGGCACCAGCCATTTTAGGCTTTGGCCACTACTAAGGCCAGAAGCGGTAATCATTTTACTATGGAGGCACCTAATAAGCGCTCACTTTTTACCTCCTATGAAGGAAGATGCAATATACATCCCTGCCTTCTCCGAGATTCGACCTAGGGCACTTCGGTCCGGGTCACTTACCATTTTCCCTTCTGAGCGGCTCATGAAAAATATATATGGCGTTACGTAAGAAAGTTATAAGAAACTATACAAAGCTTATCACTGTTGCAATACATTAATCATTTGATTGCATTTTTGCGTTGTAATCTGAATCGTTCGAAAAGATTTACTTTTTTAAAATTTCGGTACCGAAAATCCAATATTTAAAACCCTTTATTCAAATAAAGCACAAAAATGTATTAATTAAATACAAGCTTTCACATAGTTGCTTCTTTTATATTGCAGCAACCAACCTGGCAAGAGACCAATGATGTATAAACTGTAACCGAAACGATGACGTTTAAGCCATCAATCAATGTCAAACGCTGTATTTGCAACAGTGTTAAAATTTTTATTGGTACCTCACTTTCTGCGTTAGTTTAACGATCCTTGAATGCTATGCATTTTTTATCTTGTGTGCTTCAGTGAAAATGGAAATACAAGTGGTTATTTGCCTATTTAGAGAAGTCAAATCCTTAAAATGAATTAATTTTACCTAAGAAATGGAAACTGAATCAAACAATAAGCGCTCAAATAATTTCTCCTAACTCATTTTACCAAATATATTATAGGTAAGAATTTCATAATAAAATTAAAAGTGCTGACGTGCATCTTAATAAGTTGCCAGTTTTTATTATGTTCCGTTTTCTCTTAATACACAAGTAAATAGTTTACTTAAAGTGATTTCTTTGCGTTTTTGCAAATGTATTCTTCTGTCTTACATAATATATCGTCTAATTCTCTGTTGCATCATCTATATACCATTAACCTTGGAGAGTCATTAGGTCTTTTTGAAGCGAGAGATGTGAAAAATGTGCAGTGCTCTTGCCGCGACTCGAACCCTGGACCTCTTGAATACGCTTCGAGTGTGCTTCCAATTACACCACGAAGGCATGCGGAATGGAGAAATAAAATACATGATCGTAAGGACCAACTTGTTTGATTAGGTGGGTTGGGCTGCGCTCACTTCTGGTACCTTATATAGTCCACTTTTTAAAGGCGACTGAGGATTAATGCGTATGCATCCAGGTAGACCACGAAAACATGCGAAAAGAAGGGGGGGAAACAATTTATAACGTTTATAATTAAATAATGAGGAATATGAAGCTTTGTGCGTTGACGACATCTAAAGACGGCTGTATCTAAAGCCCTAAAGCGTGGACCAAAAGCTTTAAATTTCGCTACATTTGTGCAGCAAAGCGTTGCCAATTGAAACAAAAAGCAGTATGACAGTTGACAGTTTAGGCTAATTAAAAGTGGAGCGCTACGTAAAAGGAAAACGAATTTTCATTGTTGAGTAATATTTTAAAAGTAATGAAGGTTTGGCAGCAAAAGTTCGCACTTTTCGTAGAAAATATAGTCTGAATAGTGATTTAATTAAACAATTTAGGAAGGCTGGATAAATTAGTTATTTAAAACACTCTGGCCGTCCTTCAACACAAAACATCGAAGCAGTTCGTTAAAGTGTTGTTGAGAGTCCAGGTACGTCAATT